GATCCGATCGGGAATATCTGACGGGATCCTGTTCCCAAGGGAAAATGGCTCCAGTTGGGAGGATCCGAAGCGGATTCTGTTCCCAAGGGAAAATGGATCCCATGAGGATCCCTTCTGTTCCCGAAGGTAAATCGCTCCAACTGGGAGGATCCTGTTCCCAAGGGAAAACAGAACCCATTGGCAGCATGCGACAGCATCCAGCTCCCAAAGGAAACCAGCTCCGATTGGGAGGATCCAACCGGATCCTGTCCCCAAGGAAAAAGGGATCCGATTGGGTGGATCCAACRGGATCAAGTTCCCAACGGAAAATGGAACCAATAGGATCCGCTTCCCAACGGAAAATGGCTCCGCTCGGAAGGATCCAATGGGGATCCTGTTCCYGAGGGAAAACGGCTCCAGTTGGGAGGATGTGACGTGGATCCAGTTCCTGAGAAAAAACAGATCCGATRGGATTCTGTTCCCAATGGAAAACAGATTTGATTGGGAGCATCCGACAGGATCCAGCTGCAAGCGGAAGACGGCTCCAGTCGGAAGGATCCAATGGGATCCAGTTCCCGAGAGAACACAGCTCCAATTGGGAAGATCCGATGGGATCCAGCTCCCGATGGAAAATGTCTCCAGTTGGGAACATCCACTGGGATCCAGCTCCTGACGGAAAACTGCTCCAGTTGGAAGGACCCAAGGGGATTCCGTTTCTGAGGGAAAATGGATCCGACGGGATCCCGTTCCCGGCGGAAAACGGCTCCGATTGGGCGGATCCAACGGGACGCCCTTCCCGCCGGGAGGCGGCTCCGGGCGGGACGCACCGGGCACGTAGACGGAGGGATTCTCCGACATTCCCGGCAGCGGCTGGTAGTCGTGGGGCCGGCGGATCTTCAGCGACTGCCCTTGGAAAATGATCCCGTCGAAGGCCATGGCCTGTGTGGTCTCGTCCACGGAGCGGAACTGCCGGGAAAACGGGAAGCGTCGGGCGGGAAGGCCGGGAGCGGAGGGAATGCCGGGGGATGCTGGGAATTCCGGGGGATGCGGGGGTGCTGTGGGGATCTTGGGAAGGACGTGGGATGTTGGGGGAGGTGCGGGAATGCTGTAGGATGTGGGAATGCAGCGGGGATCCCGGGAATGCTGCGGGGAAGCCGAGGAATGCTGGGAACGGCCCGGGATGGGGAGGGATCCTGGGAACGCTGCAGGAAAACGGAGGACGTCGCTGGGATCCTGGGGATGCTGTGGGAACGCCACAGAGCGAGCGGGAATGCTGCGGGGATCCTGGGAATGCTGTGGGGAAGCCGAGGATGCCCCGGAATGCTGGGAACAGCCTGGGATGGGGAGGGATCCTGGGAAAACCCCAGGGAAGCCGGGAATGTCGCAGGGATCCCAGGAAGGACCCAGGGAAACCGGGAACACCGCGTGGACAACAGGAACGTCCCAGGGAAGCTGGGAATGAGGTGGGGATGCTGGGAACGCCAGAGGAAAGCTGGGAATGGCACGGGGATCCCAGGAACACCACGGGGAAACCAGGAATGTGGCAGGGATCCCGGGAAGGACCCAGGGAAGCTGGGAACACCACTGGGATCCTGGGAACGCCCCAGGGAAAGCAGGAATGTAGCAGGGATCCTGGGAAGGCCCCAGGGAAGCTGGGAACTCCGTGGGGTCCCGGGAATACCACAGGGAAGCCGGGAATGCCACCGGGTTCGCAGGAACGCCGAAGGGATCCCGGGAGCGCCGCGGGAATGCCGGGATGGCGAAGAGGGCCTCACCTCGAGGAAGGCAAAGTTCTTATCCTGGTTAATCTGCACGGCCAGGACGGGATTCCCGGGAGCCTGAGTGAGGCCGCCCAGGCGCATCTGGGCGTTGAAGAAATCCATCATGGCTTCCTGCGGGAAAAGCGGGAATGGGGCGGGAAGCCGGGATCAGGGGTGGGAAAATCCACCCCCGTCCGCCCGGGAGGGAAAACCGCTCGTGATTCCCAATGGGCAACTGGGATTTGGGGGTGGGAAACTCCACCCCTCTGCTCGGGGAAGGAAAATCGGTCGTGATTCCCAATGGGAAAATGGGATTTGGGGGTGGGAAATTTCCCCCTCCCGCTTGGCAAGGGAAAATCGGCCACGATTCCTGATGGGAAAAGAAGTGGGAGGCGCTCAGGGTGGTGGGAAAGAGAGAAAAGGTGGGAAGGAGAAAAGAGGGGGAAAAACAGAATTAACGGTGGAAAAAAACGGGGAATGAAGGGGAAAAGGTGGGGAATGAGGGGAAAAAAGGTGGGAAGTGAGAGGGGAAAAGGTGGGAAACAAAGTGGAAGAAGACAGGAAAAAGAGAGGAAAGGTGTGAAATGAAGAGAAGAAAAAGGTGGSAAACCGGAATGGAAAACAGCAAGAAAAGGGAGGAAAAAAACAGGAAATGACAGAAAAAAAGGTGGGAAACGAAGGGGGAAATGCTGGAAAATGACAAAAGGAAAAGGCAGGAAATAGAAAGGAAAAGTGGGAAACGAAGAGGAAGAAGGTGGGAAATGAGAAGGGAAAGGTGGAAACAAGATGGGAAAAAACGCAGGAAAGAAAGACAAAAAGTGGGAAATGAAAAGAGGAAAAAGGTGGGATAAGACAGTGGAATATGGTGGGAAACAAGTGGAAAAAGGCAGGAAAAGGAAAGAAAAAGATGGGAAATAAGGAAATAAAAGCAGGAAACATGGCTGGATTCCAGGGTGGATCCACAGGGAGCGGATTCCCGCTTCCCAGGCCGGAGGCGCTTCCTGCTGCTGGGAAAAGGAGGATGGAGCCCGTATCCCGGCGTCGCTCCGGGCGCTTCCCAGCGCTTCCTGGCTACCTCGGTGATTCCGAAGGGGATGTTCCCGACGTAGAGGCGCCGGGCCTGCCGCGTCATCTGGGATCCCACGACCGGCACCGGTGTCGGAGTCACCGCCAATCCGTCCGGAGTCATGGTGGGAAGCAGGGCCGTGGCTGGGATCTGGCCGGCAGCTGCCGGRAAAACACATGGGAAAAGTTACGGAAAAGCGACGGGAAAGGGGGATGGGGGCAGGAAGAAGTAGGAAATTCCGGAGGGCGGGAGCAGGGAATTCCAGAGGCTAGAAGCAGGGAATTCCGGGGTGTGGGAGCAGGGAATTCTGGAGGGTGGAAGCAGGGAATTCTGGAACCCGGAACCAGGGAGTTCCAGAGCCTGTGAGCAGGCAATTCCAGTGCCCAGAAGCAGGGAATTACTGGGCCTGGAAACATGGAATTCCAGAGCTCAGAAGCATAGAATTCCGGCGAGTGGGAGCAGGCAATTCCAGAGTCCTGAACCAGAGAATTCCTGGGCCCAGAACCAGGGAATTCCAGAGCCTGGGAACAGGGAATTGCAGAGCCTGGGAGCCTGGAATTCCAGAAATTGGGAGCCTGGAATTCTGGAGGGCAGGAACAGGGAAGTCCAGACCCAGGAGCAGCAAATTCCAGGGCCCAGAGTTTTGGAGCCCAGAAGCAGAGAATTCCAGAGCCCGGGAGCAGGGAATTCCAGAGGGCGGGAATAGGGAAGTCCAGACCCAGGAGCAGGGAATTCCAGGACCCAGAACCAGGGAATTTTGGAGCCTGGAACCAGGGAATTTTGAAGGCTGGGAGCAAGGAATTCCAGGGGCCGGGAGCCTGGAATTCCAGAGCCCAGGAGCAGGGAATTCCGGAGGGCGGGAACAGGGAAGTCCAGACCCAGGAGCAGTGAATGCCAAGACTCAGAACCAAGGAATTTTGGAGCCCAGAACCTGGGAATTCCAGGGCCCGGAACAAGGGAATTCCAGGGCCCGGAAGCGGGGAATTCCAGCAGCCGGGAGCCTGGAATTCCAGAAACTGGGAGCAGGGCAGGGCGGGCACCTTGCATGGCCTTGTACTGCATGGGGGTGATGTGCTCGAAGCCGGGCGGCGGCACGTCCCAGTACTTCCGCAGCTTCTTCTTCTTCTCGTGCCGGGGGGAGCGGCTGGAAAACCGGGAAAACACCTCAGGGATCCCCCCAAACTCGCCCCAGTTCTGACTCCATTTTGGCCCAATTCTGGCCCATTTCTAGCACGYTTTGCCCCATTTTTTCGCACATTTTGCCCTATATTTGCCCCATTTTGCCCAATTCTGCCCCATTTTTGGCCCAATTTTACCTCATTTTTGACTCATTTTACCCCATTTCTGCTTCTTTTATTTTTGGCCCAATTATGACCAWTTTTTAGCCCATTTTCTCCATTTTTGGTCCAATTCAGCTGCATTTTTGGATCAGATTCGCCCCATTTTCAGTCCACCTTTGCCCCATTTTTGGGCCACTTTTCCCCCATTTTTAGCCCATTTTGCCGTATTTTTGAATCAATTTTGCCCCACTTCTGGCTCATTTTGTCCCATTTTTTGCCCACTTAGCCCTATTTTTTGTCCATTTTGCCCTATTTTTTAGCCCAATTTTGCCTAGGGTTTGGTCTAATTTTCCCCCATTTTTAGCCCATTTTGCCCCATTTTTGGCCCATCTGACCCCATTTATGTCCCCATTTCGGGCCCAATTTTTGATCTTGTGTTCTCCCAAATTTGCCCTACTTTTGTCCCACTTTCGACCTTCTTTTCTCTCTACTTTGCCCACTTTTGTCCTAATTTTGCCATTGCCTCCCATTTTTGGCCCAATTTTGACCCCATTTGTTCTCCTTTCTTGCCCCAATTGTATCTCTATTTTATCTCAATTTTGGCCTAATTTTGACCCTATTTTGTCCCATTTTGCTCCCACTTTTGCCCCATTCTATCCCAATTCCGATTCTGTTTTGCCTATTTTCTGTCCCAATTCTATCAGCATTTTTACCATTTTCTGTCAATTTAGTCCCYTTTTTGTCCCACTTGATCCCATTTTCCCCTCTTTTTGTCCCAACCTTATCCTTATTTTGAGCCCATTTTCTCCCACTTTTGGGGCAAATCTTATCCTTAATTCGACCCAATTTTGATCATTTTATCCACGCGGTTTTGTCCCCRTTTTGTACCATAGTTGTCCCAATTTTGATCTCATTTTGTTCCTTTTTTGACTTCATGTTGTCCCCACATCATCCCATTTTTGTCCCAATTTTATCCTTATTCTGTCTCAAATTTGATCCTTTTTCCCCCCGTTTTTCTCCCCTTTTTCACCCCCCAAACGCACCTCAAGGGACCGGAGAGGCTCAAGGGCGACCTGGGAAGGGAAACGTGGGTGAATATTCATAAAAAATGGGGATTTTTGCAGGGTTAGTGGTTAAAAAAGGGGGATTGCGGGTGTTTTGGGGTGAAAGGAAGGGATTTGCAGTGTTCTCAGGTTAAAAAATGGTTAATTGGGGATTAGAAGGGGTTTTGAGGTCAGAAATAGGGATTTGGGGGCATTTGGGGGGCGAATGGGGGGAATCTGGGGGCATTTGGGGGTCAAAAGTGAGAATTTGGGGACCTTTTGTGACCCAAAGCAGGAATCTGGGGACATTTGGGGGCTAAAAGTACGAATTTGGGGGCATTTTGGGGCAAAACAGGGGAATTTGGGGGCGTTTTGGGAACCAACAGGGGGATTTAGGGGCCAAACGCAGCAATTTGGGGCATTTTGGGGCCGAATGCGGGAA